CTAATACTTGTGGTCTTTGAAGTAACTTTTCTTCTGTTGAGTCTTATCTTTTACAAAGTTCACCAGACCTACTTGCTCTTTGTGAGACAAATATGAGTTCAACTGTCTCATCTTGTGATCTCACTGTTGATGGTTATCGTCCTTTAATTCATAGAATTAAAAGAAAAAATGACACCAAGAGTCACATGCTTGACTTGAGCATTTACATTTTTAAGAATTCTCCTATTTGTCAGGATATATTTGAATCAACCGATTATTCTTCTATGTGCTTTTGTTTAGCACCAATTCACTCTATTGTCTTATTCTTTGTTCTATATCTCTCTCCTTTTTCTCAAGACTGCACTCTTTTTAATGTTATTTCTGATTTAATTGATCAAGCCCTCTCTCTTTATCCATCAACTAATATTGTGTTGTTGGTGATTTTAATGCTCATCACACTGAATGTATTAACTCTAGTTTCAGTGACTCTGCAGGTGTTAAGGCTTACAACTTTTGCTTCTCAATCTCCAGACAATCTGAGTCATTTACCTTCTCTATGCCTTGTTTCTGATCATAGTCAGTGCTCAGTTTCTCCACATTGATCCTTTAGTGCTTATGATTACGATTTGATCTCTCTAAACTGTTTATTCTTCTTCATCATCAGAATTCTCCTCTCATTGTACCTCTTACAACTATCTTAAAGCTGACTGGGACTCTTTCTGAGATTTTCTTTGTAATGACACTTGAGTAGAAATCTTTTGTCTTCTTGCTAAAAAATGTGCTTCTAATGTAACTTCTTGGATTCAGGCTGGCATGGTATCTTTTATACCCTTTTGACAGTTCTGAATTTCATCTTATTGTGCTGCTGTAATTTCCAATCGTAACTATTACTTCGATATCTATCCTTAAAACAATTCTCCAAAAGACAAATGTCTATTTACTATTACTATAAATTATTGTATAAAGGTTTTGTCTAACGCCTGCTATTCTCAGGTCATGAAATCTCATATTTCATCTAAAAAATTAGGCTCTTGGGACTTCTGGAGAATGTTTAACATTATCTATAACAAGGACAAATCTGTTATTTCACCTCTCTAGTATGGTTCAGATTTTGTCACCTAAAGACAAAGCTAAATTGTTTGCTAAAAACTTTTTATCAATATCATCTCTTGATTCCTCTAATCACATCCTATCTTATATAGTTAAAAAACAGATTGAACTATTGTTTAATGTTCGTATCACTCCAGCTTCTGTATCTTGAGTGATTTCTAGCTTAGACTCTTCTGCAGCTTATGGTCCAGACAAGATACCTGTTATAGTCTTGCAGAAGTGTTCTCCCGATCTGCTGTCTTTACTTTCAAAACTATTTAACAAGTGCTTATTAGTGTCTTGTTTTCCAGCCTGCTGGAAAGCAAGAGCTGAAAAGTGGCTGTTATCCCTATTTTCAAAAATTTTGAATAGCAATCTTACTTCTGTAACTACCATCCCATTAGTTTTATTCCTAGCATAATTACTCAAAGTTTTTGAGTAATTAATTAACAAACGCTTAACCTCTCATCGTGAATCTAATAAAATACTTTCTGATCATCGATATGAATTTCAATCTTCTCGTTCACCTGCTGATTTGTTGATAGTATTAGCTGATAGGTTTTATTGTGCATTAGATAGATGTAGAGAGGTTAAATCTATTGCTCTCAATATTTCTAAAACCTTTAATAAATCTTGGCATGTTGATTTTCTCCACAAATTTTTGTCTTATGGTCTATCAGGTAACATCTTTAAGATTGTCAGGTCAGCAATTAGGATGGGATTCTCGAATGCAATGCAAACCCTAATTCTGAGGGGTGCATGTATAATGACTTGCAACCTCTTGTGACAAAAAGATTCTATTGTGCTTTAGATGAAGGTGGTGGGGTAAAGGCTATTGCCCTTGACATACCTAAAGCTTTTGATCAAGTTTAGCATGCTAGTCTTCTCTAAAGTTTGCATCTGCTAAATTTGCTTCTCCTTATCTTTCTTGCTATTTTCTTATTAAGAAGTAAAGGATATACAATGCAGGCCTTGTTTTAAAGCGTAAAATGGTGTGCCATATACATACGCATTAAATCATTTAATGTAAGCAGTAAGCCATTTCAGTAGAGCCACTTTTTATAATTTTTTATAACTTTATAAAAACTAATTATAAAGTTTGAATGATGACTTCGTAAAAAAAAATTTATAAGACAATTACATTTTATATTTGCGCTATTTACAAATGTTAGGAAAAATTAGGAAAAAGCAAAAAAAAATATTATTTTTATTAACCAAATTTTTCCATCAAAAATGTTTAGCAAAAGAAAAAAAAAAGTTATATGACACGTAAAAAAAGAGATCATAAAAGAAATTTAATAAAAAAACTTTACTTCATTATCTTGCAAGCGTAAGAATATTTATTTTTATTTAGAATCTTGCAAGCACAAGAATACTACTGTGACCAAAAAGTAAGGTGAATTTTTAATTTAAACTTCCCGCCTTATTCGAA